AATCCTTTTGGGTTGCCCTCAAATCTAGCAATTGAATAAGATAACTTTGAGAGAGAGAGAGAGAGAGAATGATTTATTAATTTATTATATGATTAATAAATTAATTAGAAATCAAAATAAATAATTTGTTAATATATTATGAGAATAATATATTTATTGGAAATAGTATTATTTAATTAATCATTAATCAGAAATTAATTGAAATTAATTAGATTAATTAAAAGTGCAGGGTCTGTTTAGTTATTTATTGAAAGTTACGGAAAGGAGCCCATGGACCTCATTGGATGAGGTGGACGAAAATATCGTGGGCAAGACCAAGAAATTTCGTCCAAGCCCCTTGAAAGAGGGGAATGGGTTGCTTGGTCACCAAGCACAGGGATTAGGGTTTCCTCCTTAAACCCTAGCTTTGGCACCAAGCTACCTTAGCTATATAAGGACCCTTAGCCTTAGAATTTCGGCCATGACATTCAGTTAGAAGCTTAGGGCTGAAATTCTCACCTCTCTCCTCTCTCTCTTCAAGCTCCTTGGTTGCTAGGGTTTAGGTGTGAACCATTAGAGGCACGACACTTGTGGTGCTTGCTTCCAAGAGTCTTTTAAGGAGGAATTCAAGATTGTTTGCTATAACAATCTTCATGGTAAGTTTTTTGTTCTTCTGAATTAGTTTTTCATAGGAAAATTCTTGTAGGATTATGATTCATAGTATGTTGCCTATATGTGAAAGACGTAGATCATATTAGGTTGCATGTGCCCTAATCATTTGAATTGTTTAAATGTTTTCTGCTTAGATCATTGTAGTTGTAACCCTAATAACCCATCAGTGGTATCAGAGCCTAGGATTTTCTTTGATGTATTTGCACATTAGTGAATCGATAAAGAAATCTAGTTTTGGACTTGTCGCAGCTCACGACGTGAGCAATGAGGCTGAAGAGAATGACATAAACCTAAAGTTAAGGTCCTTAAAATATGGGAGAAAACCTAAATCATGGGCTTGGGCTGCAACAGCTTCCACGCAGTGGCTAACACTTTGCCACGCCTTAACAAACAACCGAGACGCGTTCTTCACTGAATTGCCATGCCACACCGTGGTCATCAACCCACCACGCTGTGGCATGTGGTTTTCTCCAAAAACCATAACTTTGGCCTATTTGAGTATTTAGCCGATCCATTATGGAAAACGGGTGTTACACCTTGGCCTTTAGCTTCTCGTGACCCTCCAAATATTATGGACAACTTCACTTCTAATGTCTAGTATTATTGTAGTGGAAGCATATGATTTCAAGAAAATTATTGTTTGGAGGTACATCATACTGGACCTGACTATGAATAGGCTTTAGGTTGGAGCCAGTCGAACCAAATATTCCCTTCCATTTGCTTTTATAGTGACTTGGCCTCTTTATTTTTGTACCTCCCTCCTTGATTGTTAGAATAAGAAGAACTGACATGGTCTGCTTATTCTTGGCCATGTTAGATTCGGTGGTCCTAACCATTCCTTTCAACTATATAGTGGGCCTTTCAAAACTACTCATAATAAAAGTTCTTGATGGACCAACTATATGAACCTGACAACGAGTTCATAATTATATATGTTGTTAACTCCTGCATAATCGTGAAATTCAATAGCTCAATTTGGTGGATGCATGCTTTCATCTTAAGCACGTGCATACTAAAACTTCTACTTTCATGTACCCTACAACGTATGAGTGATTTTAATGTGTCATATTACTCCTGCCAAGCTTATAATTGGAACATTTTCTTAAGTTGTATAATGATATCATATGCCCCAAGATTCTCGAAACTCTTTAAAGTTCTGGAACCATGGTCGCAATCATGAGGCACGCGACCTCATTAGATTTAGTGAAACCCTCGTCATATGACTTCAACTGAGTTATAGTCGCATTCTCAGTAAGAGGTTCAAGGAGTGGTTCCTTAATGGTTTGACCTTTCTTTTTGTAGATTAGAATAATTCTTAGATTACGATACCAGTCAAAATAGTTTGAGCCATTCAATCTATCATCTGAAAGGATACTTAGCAGTGAGAGAGTTTAAGGAATTTACATTTGTATCCAACTGTAAAACTATATAAAGGTTTATTATGGATTTGATTATATCCTTTGTAAATTAATTACAAAAAATTATTGTATCAAAGGCTAAGAGCCATATTTCACTTCCAAATGTTAATAGCGATGCCATAACCACAAGAAGAAGTTATTTAAGTAGGTAAAACTCTTTAATAATTTTAGTCTCTATGGAAATCTTAATTCTTTGTGAGATTTAATTACTGATATCAACATTGACATGTTTAAGCCCTTTATACTTATCTTGTATTGTGACAGAGGTGCCGAAAATCACACGTCAATACTGATAATTAAAAGATGATAAATTGAATGTTAACTAAGTTTTGTTTTTATTTTATTGCCATATAGTTGTAATTGTTAGAACATAAGGTGTTCTTTGTGTTCTTAACAAAACATATAAACAAATAACAACAAAAACATTTAAAACAAGAAAATGCATGATTGAACCGTGAATCGTGACTATTTCCATTAATAATAACTTTAATCATACGAGAGGTTTTAAGAATTACCTTTAAAAGTTCTCAAGAAGATTAAAGACCCAAACTAGAGTCCATATGTAACACATGTGTTCCAGATTGGTTAAACTTATTTTTATCAAGGACCGAAGATGGAGTTCGGGGGAAACTCTGTGCAACAATGTAACGTAAGGTTGCCCACGACATAACGACGGTTTAATCAACTGCGTGTTTTATTTGGACCACCACGGCGTGGCCAAGAAGGCAACGACGTTGTAGTTGTTCTCGATCTAAGGAGGGCCACGACGTAGCCAAGGATGGCCACGACATGGCGGTTGACTGAAGTTAACTTTGACCGTTGACTTTTTTCCTAGGCCAACTTTTTGGTCAAGATGGTTGGATTGAGTGTGTAGACTAAGGTTAGACCTTGTATGATGTGATATGAGTGTTGTATCAGCGATTGCGAGACTTTGAGCCGTGGTGTAGCTGATTTGTGAGTCAGGTGAGTTTTCTCACAGTGTTTGGTGGGTCAAAGGCATCAATGCCTACCCATTGATTTATGTTTATATGATGCTACCTGTCTGTGTGACTCTTGCATGTATTTTTATGTGTTTGTATGTATACCGGACGGGGACCGATGTCAGGCGGGGCCTGATAAATGTGTTGGGCGGGGCCCATCTCAAGTTACTAATAGATCTGTACCGGGCGGGGCCCATTATATGTATGATATGTGGTATTTTGGGGAACTCATTAAGCTTTGTGCTTACGATTATGTGTTTATGGTTTCAGGTACTTCCGGTTGCAAGGGGAAGGGCCCGACGTGACTGCATAGCATCCCCCGACGTTTTCTGCATTTAGTTTTTTTATGACTTTTACTATGATTTTTAACTGATATAATTACTTTGGTTGGTTTTGGAACAAATAATTTTTATTGTTTATGGTTTTAAAAATGAAATTGTACTATGAACTTTTGGGACGTTACACCATATGACAATATCAGACACCTTGACCAGCCAAACAAGCAATAACCCTAGCTCTGGAGTAGGAGAATATTTTGACTAGAAGAAACCTGTTGGTTTCTTTGGTTTATCGAACTTAAGAGGATGGGAGGAGGGGACCCCTATAAGGATTCCAATTTTATGATTTTGGTGTCTCTTTAATTTCTTATATAGGTAGGGAAATATTTTTTTTTTCAAATTTAAGTTAAAGGATAATATTAGCTTATTCACTTGTAATTTTTATTCTAATCTATCCATTAATTATTCCAATAAGTAATATAATTTTAGGAATAGCTAATAAATCTCACATAATTGTTAATTAACTCTTAATAAATAATCATTCCATTGATTTATAATTATTTATTAGCACATTTAAATAAAAATTTAATGTAATTAATTTTTAATTATTTATTGATACTCAATAAATAACAAATTAATTTCCTTTATATTTATTTGTTCTTACTTTCATATTAGGCCACATGTATAACTCGTAGAGGCACATGCAAACCAATTTGTGTTACTAACATGTTATGTCGTGATATCTCCAACAATAATTTACATGTTTTCCAAACCCCGTGTTGTTTACTTAATGCCTTTGGTGTATCAACAATTTTTGCCAATATTAGAGCAATTTAAATCATCAAAGTGCAAATAGAACTTATTATTTGATGATTTTTTGTACACAAATTTATCACTATATCATGTCATGACCATATTTTCTAGCAAACACCATCCATTTCTACAACCGCTGTCCACCTCCTACTACCACCATCCACATCCAATAAGAAACACCACTTTTTGTCACCACCATTTGTGACCATAATCTTGCATCTCCACCATTCACCACCACTACTATTGAGTAACTAATCTAAAGTTAGCTCTAACGTGCAACAAAAACGATTCAAACTCACATTCAAACCTCCAATTAATTCAAATCCATATTTGAATAATAAAGATTGCATCATTGAATTGATTTGATTACTAGTGGCACACAGTTCAATAAGAAAGGGACGAGAGAGGTATCAGGGGGGGAGGTAGGGTGGGTTTTATAAAGACACAAAATAGCGGAGAGGGACGTGTGCATGGAAAGGTGTACACGACGACATGAGGGATGTCGACGATAGTAAATGGCGTTAGCATGTTTTTACTGGAGAGGAGAATAAGGAAACTATGTGCTTTGCAATGTTTTTTTAAATCCGAACATGTAAAATTATGTATTCTTTATTCTTTGGAATTGTGTTGGCCCGAGAAAATTATTGAAAAATTGATGATGGTCATATAAGATTAAAATAACTAAATGTGTGCAAACGTAGTTTAACGGAAAGCCATAAATGAAAATATAAGTTTAATGATATTTATTAAACATAAAATATGTCTTTAATGATGTTTATAGAACAAAAAAGTATGAGTTTAATGATTATTGAAAACGCAAATCAATTATTCAGTTCAAAATTATATATACTGAAAACAAAATGGTAAATCATATGCAAAAAATGATTAAATACATACAAAAATGATAGTTCACTCAAAGTCGTTTTTTCTTTAAAATGACAGATTTAATTTACTTTTAGCATTCGATTATAATTATTATTTATGAAATCTGCTTTTTAGTTAATATTCGTAATTGTTAAATCCTCCATAATAAATAAAGAACTTTCTGCCACATGACATACTCTCATTGATTTTGCCACATGACATTATGTAGTTATTTTCAATTAATTTTTTTTCCAAATGTCATTTTGTGGTTTTTTCCATTTTATTAAATTTTATATAATATTTAAATGTATTAGTTGTAATACATGTAATAATAAATGCATATCAATATCATTAATTGATATTTCTTCTAATTTCAAAATTTCTAAATTAAAATCTCATTAATTTCCTATGTTTATTTATCTAAATTATTAGTTTAATTTTAAAAAAAGAAAAAAAAACACTTTAATTTTAATAATTCAATATTTTTCTATTTTTTCTTATAAATTCAAATTTATCGAATGTTAAGAATTTCATATTTAATTTTTTTTTAAATGAACCCATGTAATACATGAGTCTTACACCTAATATAATTATAAAATAAAATCTATATAAACTTAAAAGTAAAATAAAATACAGCAACAAATCTACTTAACTTATAATGAAACGAATGTTGGAAACGTAGAGCCAGTAATAAATATTGTAATATTTCAAAAGGATAATCGCACAGTTGTTATCAAAGGAAAAGAAATCGATTATTAACAATAATTTAACTCCAACCAACGCTATATCCCTTGACCACAAATCCATCATTTCATCACAGCTGATTGTTAATATTAAAATTATTTTGTCTAAATAAGTTAATTAAAAAAATATTTTTACCATTTCTTTGTGGACAGCTGGACATGATAATGTAATTCTGTTTGCCGGCTGTGGGTAACCGCGTTTGACGTGGGTCAACTGTGAAAGTCATAAACAGCCGAAAAAATAGAACAAACTTACCACGATTGACTCCACATTTCCACCTTCACTAAATCTTCACCGTCCATCCACTCTACTACACGTGTCAACATCTGAACCTCAATATACGACACGTGTCGCATCCCTATTCGGCCAATTACATAGGATTCCTGTAAACGTGTTGAAGAAGAAAAATTACAGGCGGCCGACTCAAAACCGACCAAACCCACCACGTCAGCAAAACCACAACCTCGAAGCTTCCTCCAGCAAATGACACGCTCACACGTGTCCTCTATTTCCAACGGCTACTTTTCCCGTACTCGAATATAAAACACATAAACGTGAAAATACAGAATAGTTCGTCATTTCCACGCACTTCAAAAGAAAAAAAAAGCAAATTCGATTATATCTTCATAACAAAAAACCCTTAAACCTCTCCACAACATTTGCAGATTTGGTGTTGTTTCCCTCTGAAGAACATCCGTTACAGCAATCCCTATTTACGACAACAAGAAATTAGGGTTCATATCCCTCATTTGAAAACAAGGTTCGTTCATATAATCCCATGTTTCCATTTGATTTAGGGTTTCTTCTTCTTCCTTTTGTTCGCAGTTCTGATCTTTTCTGATGGAATTATCAGGACTAAAATGGCATTGGGTAGGAGTTACAGCTTAGGGTTAGTAAAACGCACGAGTTCATTTGGTAGGAAGAGGATTCTGATTTTGAACGAAATGGATATCGATTCTATCGATACGATTTCGCCCACGAAGAAACGATCAATGGGAAACAGTTTCAGTGCCAGTCGATCGTTGCTGGAAGCTCTGCCTCAGGATATTCTCGTAAGTTCCCATGATTGAAGACTGCTTTTTTAGTTCGAATTGATCCCAGTTTTTTCAGGGACTGATGGTGTTTGTGTGTGTTTTCGCAGATTAGGGTCTTGTGTGGTGTAGACCATGATGATCTGAAGAGGCTGTTTCATGTATCTAAACCGATTAGAGAAGCTGTAAGTTCGATTCCCATTTCACAAATGATCAATTTGATTATTGCATTTCATAAATAGGGTAAATACAAGAAGTATAAGACACATTCTTAGGATATTTCTTATAGCATCTCTATTTCATTTAACCTTTCATAAACTTTGCAATAATTGGACAATGTGTTTATGGGTTGTTTCTAATTTCTATATGATTAATGTTTACAGGCTATTATAGCAAAGAAACTGCATTTTGAATATAATACACCAAAAAAGATCCCTGCTTTTAGATCCACCATAGAACCATCATCACTTGAGTTTGATGAAATTGGAGCTCCAAGACAATTGAGAGTAGCTCGTTCTCGATTGGATAGAAAAAAACTGGCTTCCATTTCGGTTGCCTTATTTACTTCTGATGCTGAAGATGAAGTGTTTTCAAGGAGGAATTTGTAGAAAGTATCAACTTTTTTGTAAATAGAGAGGAAAGATAGAGAAGATGATGTTGTTTATAGAAGCAATTTAGGGTTCTTCAATTGTTCCATTGAAGATTATGGGGTTTTGTGGTTGTACATTTACGAAAGAAAGCATAGACACTAGTCAGTGTAGTGATATTTATGAAGATGTAATTGATTATTGTTGGTTGGTTTTTTGTTAAAAACCAAATCTTTACTTCAATGTACTATATGTTTTCCACTTCTTTTCTTATGATATACTATTTATTTATTACAAATTGTATATGCACAAATTTGGGCTATCATTTTTTTGTTTGTGATTTATCTTCTTATTGGTAGTAGTGAGAGGAGTAAGCAATTGCGTTTTGCCCTCATCTTTTTTTTTTCTCAAGAAGAAATATGAACATGAAGTATTCAAGGGTTTTTGATTTTTGACTTGTTAGGAATTTGTTTGCAATCAAGATTAATCACAAAATGAAATTATGGGTGTGAAAGCTGTAACTAAAAAGCTTATAAAATAGCTTTTGGATTATAAGGTTTTTTTTTTTTTTTTAAAATAAAAACTTTAAATTCTTACTCCCAAATTTGATTTATTTTTGAAGTTACAAACTCAAAAATTCTTAACAGAAAACCCAATATGATTTGTTAAATATAAATTAAAAAGTGAATTGGTTAAAAGACAAACATACCCTTGATGTAAAGTATTTTCCATGATCATGATTCATGAATAACATGGACTATTCATTGATGGCCCAACTTTATTTTTGTTATATATACTTTGAGCCGATAGTATTATTAAATTCAGTCGACGACGACATATCAATTATCATCAGACTTCAGTTAACTGCTAATAGGCCTACCATTGATGACGGACTGTTCATTGGTGGCCCAATATTTTTATGAAAGCCCAACTTTACCAACATCAATAAATATTTTTACTAACTATGACCTACATTAAACTTGAGATAACTCAAAGTCTCAAACTTATATATATTTGATATGTACTATTAATAGGGATTTATAAGAAAATCTTCGATGTGAAGTTTTCGTTATATGTCAGCTTGTTACTAGAAGTTATAATTTTTATTTCGATATAAGTGTTTGACAAAAATAGTTGTTATCTTTTAAATATATAAAATTAGTTAAAAACTTAAAACTAAAAGCTCCGTAAAGATAGTTGAAGTAGCTTTTATATTCGGAACATTTTATTTAAAAGAAAAAGCTAAAATTTCTGCTGCCAAACGAAGTTATTTTCTTATTTTTTTATTTTATTTTTTTTTTGAGTTTTTTTCTTAAAAGCTAAAAGTTAAAAACTCCCAAAAACTTTCAAAAACTCCTGCCAAACAAGGCATGTCTTTTTTGTATGTTTTTTCGGTATTAATCCTCGATTTTATTAATCTATTGTGGAATTTACTTCAACACTCAGACCTTTGATTTTGGAAACCACACATTTAAACCACTTAAAAATGTGAGTGTTAGTATAAAAATCACATATCACCAATTTGTCCCTACATAAGATATAAGAATGTGAAAATGAGTAAGATAGGTTTTAGATTCAAAATTTAGGCATCATCTTCCATAATCTATAGTTATTATGATTTATCTTTTTCATTTGAGATAGGAGCCAAATGTTTGATGAGTGAAATTCCACACAGAAGGTCAACGGTTCAAACCTTGACACCTCCAAAATATTTAGTATTCCATGATTGACATTCCACATGAACCCATGCTGTTGAGACGATTCAATTTATCATTTCCTTTTATGATTTATCTTCTATATATTGACTGTTAAAATGATTGGTTATATCCACATAATATCAAATAACTATATTGGTGTTTATATGATGGATGATGTATGGTTAGCTATCATGTATGTGTTAACTGTTGTTACATAAATGTTTCTTGATTGGCCCCTTTGAGTGAGAAATCTCTCAACACTTGTCTCTATTTAAAGTACCAAAAAGTGCCCCAAATGAATGCTTGAATTTAAAGGCTTATGCAATGCACCCATCTCTCTTCAATTATTTTCTTTATATCACTTCTATTTTACTATTCACTTTCCAAACATGAAAATGCCTCTCTTTTTCAACAATCATATGATGCTTTACTTGTCACATTATGGAAAAGGAATGACATTAAAAGATTGTCACTTTGTACACGATACATATATAAAAAATAATTTATTATGATATGTACATATTATGGTGTAATTATTCTTCAACCTTTTTAATCCATAAGATTACGAATGGATAACACATCATTTATCAATCAAGTTGTATGGTCACCAGGATTTTTATTTGCAAAATAAAAGGTTCCATGCTTTTCCAGTATATCTTTTGTTTACTGTGCTCCTTTATAACTTTTGAAACCGAAAGTAATATAATTCATTTTTTTTTGGATTTTTATAACAGTTTTATTAAAATAATGTATGGTTTTATGAATAGGATGATAATGGTTCGAACTAACTCTTATGTGAACAGGGAAATAATGTTTTTAGTCATTGAACATTTATAATTTCGTTATTTACAGGGTTGGTCCTGAAGATTAAATATCCTCAAATGCTTTGGACGAGTCAGAAAAAAAAAAGATTGTTATCGTTATTATAAACTTTATAGATATATATATATATATATATATATATATATATATATATATAAATAAAAAGTTTATAATAACGATAACAATCTTTTTTTTCTGACTCGTCCAAACCATATATATATATATATATATATATATATATATATATAATATATATATAATAGGTTTAGGTTCTATGGAAAACAAAAAAAACCTAAAAAAACCCTAAAAATCATAAAAAAAAATACTAGAGATCATATATATATATATATATATATATATATATATATATATAATATATATATATATATAGATATATATATATATATATAGGTTTAGGTTATATGGAAAACAAAAAAACCCTAAAAATCATAAAAAAAATACTTAAAGATCACAGAACTTTTTTTGATTTTTTTATCAAAAATCGCAGCTTTTAACTTAAAATCGTGAAATTTTTTTTGAAAAAAATTATTTTTTTACAAAAAAAAAAAAAAAAAAATTGATTTTTTTTTTCAGCGAAATTGTCAAAAAGGCTCCGATTTTTTGATAAAAAAATTCAAAAAAAAGTTTTGTATATATATATATATATATATATATATATAATATATATATATAATATATATATATATAGGGAAGGGTTCTTTGGAAAACAAAAAAACCCTAAAAAAACCTTATAAATCATAAAAATGCATAAAAAAATACCTAGACATTACAAAACTTTTTTTTGAATTTTTTATCAAAAAATCGCAGCCTTTTTGACAATTTCGCTGAAAAAAAAAATCAAAAATCATTTTTTTTTTTTGTGAATTTTTTTTTTCAAAATTTTTTCCTCGATTTTATGTTAAAAGCTGCGATTTTTTTGAATAAAAAAATTCAAAAAAAAGTTTTGTGATCTCTATGTATTTTTTTTATACATTTTTATGATTTTTAGGGTTTTTTTGTTTTCCATAGAACCTAAACACACTATATATATATATATATATATATATATATATCTATATATATATATATATATATATATATATATATATATATATATATATAAGCTTAGGTTATTCAATTCTAACTAATTATTGTGCGGATATCGTATCCTGTGAGAATGATAAAGAAAAAATGTTGTTTGATAATATAAATACGTTCAATCTTACATAACTATTGTCATTAACACACATTCTCACTAATTAAATCGTTTATAAGGTTATTATACACTTATTATTATTATTCTCATTTCTGTTAGAATGTTTGTCAGAATGTTTATTGAGTCGTATTCTGTCAGAATGAAAATGAGTGAAAAACGATGTGTGAAAACAAAAATAAATAATAATTAGCGAGCATGCATGAAAATGACGATATTTTTGTAAGGTTGAACGTATTCGCATTGCTAAACAACTTATTCTCTTAGTAATTCTCATAGCATACGATATCCGCACAATAATTAGTTAGAATACTTGAACGTATTCTAACGTTGAACGTATTCTAACTAATTATTGTGCGGATATCGTATGCTATGAGAATTACTAAGAGAATAAGTTGTTTAGCAATGCGAATACGTTCAACCTTACAAAAATATCGTCATTTTCATGCATTCTCGCTAATTATTATTTATTTGTTCTCACACATCGTTTTTCACTCATTTTCATTCTGACAGAATACGACCCAATAAACATTCTGACAGAAATGAAAATAAAAAATTGAACTGCAACTGTCCACTTTGCCCCTAACTCAACGCCGCCCCTATGGTTATTTATCAAAAATTAATATATAAGTTTGTTGATCATTAATAACAAATATTAAGAATTAGTTAAAATATTATTTAACAATAACAATAATATTAGTGATTTATTAACCAAATCCATATAATATATTATATATCGAGCTACAATTGACACATCAATGATATTAAGTTAAGAGTTTGTGTAAACACAAAAACAGAAGTTTGTGATAATTTCATATTAAGTTAAGAGTTTGGTCCATTTTATGTGTAACAACTTAACATTTAGTTTTTTTCATTATACACAAACTTTCCATATGTTATATTAGCCATTACTTTTTGTTTCCAAAAGCTTAATTTTAAGTCATATATTTGTCGATTTATATCGATTTTAATTATCAAAATCTGTTGTATCTGTTGTATTCCTAATAAATAAATAAATTTCAACATTACTTCTATGATAATAATAATAATAATAAGAATATGTTTATTCGTTGTATTTTTTTGCTTCGGTTTTTCACTTCTACCAACAAATCGGCCCAAATAAGTTGAATTTAATTTTTTTCTAAACGGACCAAACCAAATCAAACTGATATATGATGATTTGAAATCTATCAGTATTCAAATCATACTAAGATAAAATGAAAACAATGAATACCAAACAAACTAAATGCAAAGCACCTAATTTCTTTTGACAAGTTTGTGTAAAAGCTTCTTTCCTTTATTCTGTGGGGTGAGTGTCCAACAAAAGGATGTCTTGGCCTTTTTGGTAGGGTCATGTCACTTCTTCCCACCCTAACACATCATGTGCTTCTAACTTTGTAAGTTGAGGTTTTGGTATGGGTTGGCCCAACTTCTTATCATTTTCTTTGATTTTTATTT